GGATGGACGGATGGATGGATGGATGATGGATGGATGGATGGATGGATGATGGATGGATGGATGGATGATGGATGGATGGATGGATGGATGGATGGATGATGGATGGATGGATGATGATGGATGGATGGATGGATGGATGGATGCTGGATGGATGACAGACGGATGGATGATGGATGGATGATGATGGATGGATGGATGGATGGATGCTGGATGGATGACAGATGGATGGACGGACGGATGGATGGATGGATGGATGATGGATGGATGGATGGATGGATGGACGGACGGACGGACGGATGGATGGATGGATGGTTGGATGGATGGATGATGGATGGATGGATGGATGGATGGATGGATGGATGGATGATGGATGGATGATGGATGGATGGATGGATGGTTGGATGGATGGATGATGGATGGATGGATGGATGGATGGATGGATGGATGGATGGATGGTTGGATGGATGGATGATGGATGGATGATGGATGGATGGATGGATGGTTGGATGGATGGATGATGGATGGATGGATGGATGGATGGATGGATGGATGGATGATGGATGGATGATGGATGGATGGATGGATGGTTGGATGGATGGATGATGGATGGATGGATGGATGGTTGGATGGATGGATGGATGGATGGATGGATGGATGGATGGATGGATGGATGGATGGTTGGATGGATGGATGATGGATGGAGGGTTGGATGGATGGATGATGGATGGATGGATGGATGATGGATGGATGGATGGATGGATGATGGATGGATGGATGATGGATGATGGATGGATGGATGGATGGATGGATGGAATACATGTTCATTTCAAGAATCTATTCTCTTTTTTTCATCCTTCTCCAGACCCAAATAAATCCGATTCCATCCATTTCTGACCACCAGATGGGACCTTCTGTTCCAGCTGGTCTCTCTGAACATGAACAAAATGTCTTGAAACATAAAGTTAAAGTCAAATGACCTTCTGGGCTCGTAATCGGCGCACGCCGCTGACACAGCAGTGGTCTGTCAGTCAGCACCGTCTGTATACAAAGCGCTTCTAGAAGAATTATTCTCCCCAAAAGACTTAATTACGTAGAAGTCACCAACTGCTGAAGTGGTTCATTATTAATCCTTATTTCTCCATCACTCAGAGGCATGCAGGGACCTAGCATGCGTAATAAAGAGTGTGAGACCCGCCCTCATCAGCTTTCTCTGTTGCTTGGTAATGGCAACAATGTGGGCCTATTGCAGATTCCCAGAAATGCAAAACACGTTTAACTTCTCTCCCAAAAGCCTAAAATTTTTCTCACAATAGAAAAGTGAATATATGTCATGCATCTTACTAAAACAATATTTATTCAAAGACTTATTAGAAATCTTATTTGAACCCCCCCCCCCCCCCCCCCACCACCCCCCCTTTAGAGCAGTAAGTGCAGAGTGAGTGCGGTTCAGTGATAGCCTGGATTTATGTGTCCCAGGCATGCACACCATCTCCTCTTTCTGCAGGGCCATGGTCCAGTATGCAGGCAATGCTTTAATCCTGAAACATGGTCACTTTAAATGACAGTGAGAACGACTCCTTCTAATCCTTCCTGCTCTCAGTGTTGCCAGGAACAAAAAGCAGATACTACAGAGCATCGCTGCAGATGCTCAATGAGTGAAAAAGGATAAAGCATGCTGTGGTGTCGTTAATCACTGAAGATCCAAAGTTAGTAAGGTTTATTTTTACAGAAGGAGGGGCTGGGAATGCAGAGAAGGAAACTTGATCAATGATATTAGCATTAATATAAAACTATCATCATACAGAACATTGCTTGGTAGGACTGCCTTTGGCTGTCTGTCAGACTTCAAAACATATCTGTTTGAAGCAAGAATTGCCACCATGGCTTCATCAAGCTGCTGCCTACCTCAGTGAAACAGGAAAAAGACTAAAACAAAGTGAATCCAGTAGAACTTTTTATTGCCTACCTGGAATGGGTGACAATAGTTGAAGAAACTTTTGGCTCTCAAAATGGTATCAGTGCCCTATTGGTTGGTACTCGCCGATACCGATACCACCATTTTAGTGCTGGATTGGGGCCCCGCCCCATACTGTTATCAGTACAACACTGATAATAATAATTTAACTTTTGATATTTCTCTTTAAATAGACATTATGTACGTTTTTACTGAACTACACTGCAAAAACCATCTAGAAATAAGTAAAAATGTCTTAGATTAATTGTATTTACCCTTAATTTGAGCAGGTACACTGCAAAAACAATCCAGAAATAAGTAAAAAATGGCTTAAATTAAGTATATTTAGCCTTAATTTGAGCAGGTAAATAAGATGATTTGCCAATGGAATGAGTATTTTTACTCTTAAAATAAGATAGTTAGATAATATTTACTTGAAATAAGACGATAAAATAGTTTTTTCTTATTTTAAAAGGAAATTGTCTTGTTCCATTGGCAAAGTGTCTTACTTACCTGCTCAAATCAAGGAAAAACACACTTATTTTAGGAAAAAATAACTTATTGAGATTTCTATTTTTTGCAGTGTAAATAAGATGATTTGCCAATAGAATGAGTATTTTCACTCCTAAAATAAGATAATTAGATAATATGCACTTGTAATAAGAAAATGCTGTTATTTCTTTCTTATTTTAAATGTAAATTGTCAAAGTTTCTCACTCACCTTCTGAATTCAAGAAAAAATGCACATATTTAGATGAACATTTTTGTAGTGTATATCTTTAAATTATCCTTTTTATTTTACCCTTTACAATTAAAACATAGGCTTATAGATGCATGGGTGTTAAAGTGCGGTCAGCAAGTAATAATCATGGATCATTATCTATACCTAAAATTAATACCTTTGTGATCACTGAACATAGTAACACCTCACTCTTGACGTCTTCCGGCAGTGACGTCACGGTGCCAGAAACGGATGGACAGAGAAAAAACACGTCATTAATCCGTTACTCTCTGCTTCACATAGTGCACTAGCCATCATGGATATTAGTTGTGACAAACACCAGATACAGCACTGGGACTTGATCAACAGCCGATACCGCACCGTGATGTCACTAACCAGTAGGTGGCAGTAGTGTTCTTTGACAAACATGGATGCCTCCAGTAAAGCACATTCACATGAAAATTACTCTGAATTAAAAACACTGATCATTTATTGAACAGGATGGAATCTTTTCAGATTTAAAGAACTTTCAGAAGTTTGAATTCTGAATATGAGCGGACTTCTTCTTTAACGTACTTTGGGTCGGAAGTTCCCACGCTGTTCGGTGGATGTGACGTCAGGGGCGTCAACATTCGTCAAGTATGAGCGCGAGCTATGAGAACCAGCAGAAGAGTGCTGCAGCTCTGTGTTTCGTCTACAGGTGGCAGTGTCATTAGTAAAATGTTAAACGCTGAGCATGCAAAAAAGGCAGAGACCTCCACCTCACCCAGCAATCAGAGATCAGGACCCAGGCAACCACTGCCCTCGGTACAAAGAGCTCCCTCAGAGGAAAAACACCGGAAGACATGTCTCAGATCAAATGTCGAAACAAACATGGGTTTTTATGGCAGATAAACTGAGTCTGAAGTCTTTTGTTATTAAGCTGACGCTCAAATCCAAGTCTGAAACTAACTAAGGGTGTGCAAAATAATCGTCATGACGATGCATCGCGATTCTAATTTTTGTGATCTACTGCAGGCAAGAAGGCCATAATCGATTTATAAAAATAAATAAATAAAAGAACAAATAAAACACATGAATTGTTGCTGCACATCAGCCAAACCAAGTGGAATACAACTTCCAGTCCAGCAGATGTCGCTGCGGATGTGTTGACGCCCGCTGCTTTGTGTCACAAGCATGTCCAGCCGTGGGATACTGAGACGAGTCATATGAAACAAAACATGGAGGACACTATGAAATTCGCCCCGCGGCTCCATCACATTTCAAGTCAGATGCATTCTGGCTTTAAAAACAAAGAAGGTAAAAATGAAATTGATATGATGCACGTCATTTGCCAAAGGGGAAATATACATTTGAATGTTTTCGTTTCATTGGTTTAAAGGACCACTGAGGCCATGTAAACGGCACTGATTATCCTTATTTTGTTATTTTAAGTTTGATGAATCCTAAGATCTTTTTGTCAGTGTGTCCACGCCAGTAATAGTAATATTTCTGTCCAGTATTTGTTTCCATGGCAACACCTCCAAAAGTCGTTTCAATAAATACAGCTATGTATGAATTCAGTTGCTTTCAGTTATGTATCAATTGAAGACACGATCCAGATCTCACCCAGCCAGTCAGCCACTGGTAAGGGCTGGATCCTTTTCTTACAGTGTTCAGTGAAAATATCACAATGCATCGCAATATTTCAAGTATCGTGATGCATCGTGGTAAAATCGCATCGTGGCATGTGAATCGTGATTCGAATCGAATCGTGACTTCTTTGCCAATACCCACCCCTAAAACTAACTGCCCAGCTTTAAATTCTATTGGTTTAATATACAGTAGCAGCCATTCAAAATAGCCATTCCCAGCCAAAAGCCAGCCGAATGGCAGCAAAATCCGTCCAACTTCCAGCCACTGGAGTGACCCCCCCCTGCATATCCACCCTTTCACTGAATTACAGAGTCTGACCAGGAGATGGCGCTTCTCTTTAGATCTTAATGTCCGTAAATCATGACAGAAAGAATATTTTGGACGTTTAAAAAGGAATTGTAGGGGACCAGCCAAGGACCAGCCAAGGACAAGTCAAGGGAAGTGGGGAAATTTTGAATGGCTACTACTGTAGGTAGTTATCATAGTTTTTTGACGTGTTAAATATCTGGAATGGTTACAAATCAGAATGTGTTCTGAATAAATGAAAATGATCATCAGGGGAGGAACAAAAAGCCAGAGAAGCGAAGAAAAGCCAAGTGAAGTCATGTTTTGAACTTCCTCGGCCATGAAATGCTCAGAGTCTAATTTAAGTACATAGATCAATTTCAGTCCAGCCTCACATATGTCATTGTGTACTTGTTATGTATTTGCTCAAGCCCATCGGTTCATTTATTCATGTAGTAAAACAGACAGCCTGATCGTATTTGGGTCAACCAGCAGACCTGGAACCAGTCCCAGCATGCTGTGAAGACAGGGTGAGTACGTTCTGCATGGAGCCAATGTTTAACGCAGGATAAATCTATGGAAACCGTCTAAGTAGATCCCTGCTGAGCCTTAGTAGGCCTTTATGAGTCACCTTGGCCTCTTCTCCATCTGCTTTGCTTTTCTTTTACAAGCAGATTTCATAAACAAGAGGATCATCTTGAAGTCCCTCTTTGTGCTTGAATTGCACCTCGGAATATCTAACAGAGCAGGTCAAGGTTTTCTGTGAAGAAATGAATCTGAATCACTTTGGTGACCAGATTTTTTCAGCTATGCAGGCTTGGTCAGTGAATGACTGCGATTCCAGTAAGTATTTGGAAGCCACCTGTTCCTGCCAGATATTTCACTTCCAATGACAGCTGCTTGAATGCGTTTGCACATCTTTGGCTTTATGCATTTATGTGCACATGTGTGTGTGTGTGCATGGGTTGTTGTGCATGAGCCTCCAACACACACATTCCTCTCCAATGGAATAAGTTCACTGGAGGAGAGTCTGCTGACTGGCCTAGTGAGTATGTCAAGACCATTAGGGAAACAAGAGAGGGAAAAGGGAAAGTGATTGAGCTCGGCTTTCGGTGCTGCAGTTGGTAATATGCCACAAGACACACAAACACGTCTATTATGCTCCTAAGTGAACCTTTCTGGATTCACAAGGCAACTTTCTTCTCTGCGTCACTCAGAAATCCCTTTATAAACTCAGAGACAGCTGTTGTTTCTCTCTGCCACATGTAGGCAGGGTCACCCCCACCGAAGACCCCCAACGCCAAACCCCTGAGGAGGGATCTTGGAAGCTCCTGTTGGTCTTCCTCCCATCGAATGCTTCTCTGTGTGGGAGCTCTGATTACACAGCGGCTCAGAGGTGCATTTACAAGCCGGATCCAATCCAATGCGTAGTCTTCTCTCTGTAAACCTGAAAACAATATTCTAGATTTACCAAGGGCTCAAGAGTTTTTTACATTAGCATCAGCTGTTATAAGTTTTACAATTTAGAGAAATTTCTTGTTGGTTTACAGGACTTAAATTCAAAGGCATATTCGAGTTTTTTAATATGAAGTTGCTTCAAAGTTTGTATTAATTAAATAACCAGTAATCTTTTTGTTTGAAACAAGCTTAAAATGAGCATGGAAATCACTTCTAATCTAGTATAGAAGTGGTGAAAAGAAAAGTATTCAGAGGCTGTCGGCAGGCTGAGGGCTTGGCGGAGGCAGAGCTAGGTTTGAGTGCTTGCAGATCTCAGATTTGAGTTTCCTTTCCAGATTCTTCAGAGAGCGGGCAGGCAGGTCTTTGACAGGTTTGATTCTCCAGGGTTCTTCAGAGATCAGACAGACAGATTTCCAACAGAGAAACTCTTCAGGTTTTCTGGTTTCAGACAGGTTCAACCTGGGATGCAGAGAAGACAAAACAGATCAGGTTCTGGTTCAGGTTTTCAGGGAGTCAAAGATTCAGACAGGCAGGTTGGCTCAGGCTTGCTAACCATAACTGGCAAACACTCTGGCACTGGAGTGTAGTTCTCCGCCTCCTTAAGTACGGACCTCTTGATGAGCAGATGGAAAACAGGTGTTGCAGGTGAGCACGAGCCCTCAGGAAGGGATCCTTGGCGCCTCTGGTGGGCAAGCCTCTGGATCCCAACAACGCCATTCTCCCAGCTTTACAAGCTAAATCAATGGGAACTACTAGACACATCTGCAATCAACAACAATTATTGAAGATTTCCAGAGGACTTCACCATTGAAATTCACCAGAGCTATAGTGAAACTGACAATGCCCACGTGCATGGCAGCTGGATGCTGGAATACATCGGGTAAAAGTGGAAAAAAGAGTTATTCCACCTTTCTGATTCCTGATCCTCCACGGACGGGTTGGTCGTTGGATCGCCAACTTGAAGAGGGAGGATTTGCCATCGAACTTCTGGCCAGAGAAAAAACCCGTAATATGTAGCCAACATTTGGAAGAAGAATGTTTTCAAGATGACTTGGATAATAGCGCCTTGTGACAAACACCAGATACAGCACTGGGACTTGATCAACAGCCGATACCGCACCGTGACGTCACAAACCAGTAGGTGGCAGTAGTGTTCTTTGACAAACATGGATGCCTCCAGTAAAGCACATTCACATGAAAATTATTCTGAATTAAAAACACTGTATAAAATTATACAGGTTTGGAATAATTTCATATTTAAAGAACTTTCAGAAGTTTGAATTCTGAATGTTAGCGGATGTTTCCTTTAAAAAAAAGACGGCAACACCAACGACTGTGAAACGGTTCATAATCTGGTGAGGCCAGTGAAAAGTGATACTAAGTTATGTTTTTATTTGATATGAGGGGAGAGTGATGTAAAGCAAAACTCTAAAAGTGGGTCACAAAAGAAACGGACACATGAAAACCCCCATCTGTCCCGCACTGACCCCCAAAAGTGTTATTGTTTTTTCAAACCTGGTCACCCTTCATCCAAGTCAAGCTTGCCAAGGAAAAGGGCCAGCAAATATATCAACAACACCTTAAAAGTAAAAACTTTAGTTTTAGCCACGTTTTTTGCAACAGCTGAAGTATAATCTTTGATAGAAAATGCTAAAAATAAAAAACACCAAATCTTTAGTGTTAAAATTTTTAAGTTGCTGTCATTTAAACAAGTTGCATGTATTTTTTTTTTGTTAAACTCCTTTATTTTAAAACTTAAGGTTATTAAAGTTTTAGCAGTTCACCAGATCATCCAGTCAAATTGATTCAAAGTTTTCTATCTGAGGAAAACCGGTTGATTGCATCGACTCATTGACTCTTCAGCAATCCCTCACACTAAGCATGCTTGTAGCGACAGTGGAGAAGAAAAACTCTCTTTGAACAGGAAGAAACCTCCAGCAGAACCAGGCTCAGTGTGAGCGGCCATCTGCTGAGGCCCACTGGGGTTCAAGGAGACAGAAGCAGACATAGAAAAAGAAGCATAGATACAAAAGGCAACTGTCAACCAGCTCCACAGGCGGCCCCGTCCAGGAAACACACAGCCAGGCAGACGAGCTCCGAGCCAGCTCCCATGTCAGAGGATGAAGAGAGCACATCCAGTTAGTCACAGTCAGAGAAACAGGACTACACTGGAAAACAGGCCAAGCTCCAACATCTATAAACAAAGGTGTTGATGGCAGCAGCACAGCTGATATTTCTCTCCAGGATGGAGTCACAGCCAAACAGGAACAGACCAGATGAAGGAACGATGAGAAAAAGCAGATGGATGATATGGATTGTAAAATGGCAGCGCCCTTCCGATGTAGCATGGTTCTTTTGCTCGAGAATGTATATCTATTCACTGCATGTCATTTAGTCAAAACAGGTTTTCAAATGTTTATCCTGCTGTTTTTTTTTCCTTTCAACAAAAAAAACAATGTTTTGAATAGAAGCGCCAACTCAGTTTTTTTCTCTTTTACTACATCTGTCATTAACACACTCACGAGCACGTACATCAGTTTCCTACCTGCAGGTTGGCTCTCTCCAACATCAAACTAAACAGCCAAACCACAGAGCAGCAACAGATCCTTTCCCAGGGGTGTCCAGCTTTGATCTGCAGGTTGTTGCCGATCTCGGGGGGGAAGACAGAACCCAGAACAACCTTTTGATTTACGTTTTTACTGCCCTGCAGAGACAGGGCGCTTTCAACAGAACTCTACAGCTTTCCCTTTAAATGTATATAAGCTTTATCCTATGTATGTCAACAATGTCATTTACAGTGCTAGCATACAGTGTCACATCCAAGGAATTTTGTCACATTTGTTTAGTCCGTTTACACCAAAAACAAACTTTGCTTGCAAAAAAGACGGAACAAACATGTGATTGATGCTGGTAGAAATATAACCCATAAACATGCAAAGGTATTTCTGCAGAGAATAGCTGCAGGGAGGCGGAATGCCAATACCACATGTTTAACAAATCTCTGTCATCTTTATTGCAACTTAGAATTTTTAGGCACTTTGTTTATCAAAAATACTCTTTCCCAGAGTACTATGCATGTAAAAAAAATCTGAGCACTGTTTATTCTATCAAATCTACATTATAGAGAAAATATGTTTTATTCTGTTATATTTTGATGCTTGTTTTTCACAGAGTAGAAGAGATGTATGCCCTTTGTCCGTAAAGCAGAGCCAGATGAAGGGAAATGAAAGGCCTCACACGACATATTCTGAATACTTCAAGAGAACCCTAATGGTTGAAGGCTAGAAGGTCCTATGTTGTGCATTACATCACCTAATTAACTTGGCCAAAGCTATGCTGCGTGTTGGCTAGTGTGACAGCTTCATGGCTGTTTTTCATGTGAGTTAGCCAAGCTACACTGGGTGTGCCGGGTAGACGGGTTCCAGCTGAGCCCCTCACTGCTATTTCATGTACTGTGTCATAAAACCATGTTACGGTGGTAATGTACTTATTCACATTATACAATTGCCGGAGTGTAGACTCCACTCAGAGAGAAATAAAAAGTCCCGAAACCCAATAAGGAGGAGAGACCGTAATGTTCATGTGTTACAGTGAATGATTTATGCCGCAAAGATGGTTTTATTACGAAAGCTCATCATAAGGTTACAGTTACATTGAAAATAACTTCTATATGGATAGAAACCAGACTCCTGTTTCTTGGAAATCAATTATCCTGTACCCTTGTATTCTTGTTTGCTCTTAGAGAACCCATAACATGCTTTTTATCCCCACAAACCTGCTTTTTTTTTCAAATCTGCACTCTCTACCCCCTCATGTCTCAACAATCCAACGTTTGGTGAAGATTGCCACCATGTGTTTAAGTGATGGATCCTATAAAATGCTTAGATCCAGAGCCTCTGGCTGAGATGTATGCGAGGCCTCTTAGGGCCCAGCAGTTGATAGGAGCTTTCTCCTCTACATGGCAGCGTGCCCACATCTCCTGGAGATCTCAGTTTTCTTTCTTTGACCTCATCCATCAACCCCACTCTATTCCTCTCCATCTGTAACCAATGCTTGATCCAACACTTCCATTCTAGTCACATTTTCACCTGACAGGCCCTCCAGCGCCTTATCCATCACTCTCATTACTGCTTCTCCTCCAAAAAAGACTGTCTTAAAGTAACAATGGCTGCCATCGAGTTTAAGTGAATGATTGCTTCATGTAAAATTCAAATGAAATAAATTCCATGAAATCCATGAAGGATTAGAGTCATGAAACACAGATGTTGGTTCAGTGAGGGATCGCATTAATGACATGTTCATAGAACTGCTTAATATTTGCTTTGCTACGTGCAATGATGAAAATTCCCTCATTTTGTATGTCAGGGGCATGAAACAATATGCTACACTTCCCAATTCATTCATCAAATATCTATTTGACCACTTGGGGGCAATTGTAAAACTTTTTACTCAATTTTCCAGATGTGCAAACAAGAGATCCATCCCGATGCAGTAGAGCCATGTAAATTCCACATTAGGTTTAAGAAGTTAGGCTAATTTAATCTTTTTTTTTATTACTAAGGCTACCTTGGTGGAGATCTTGCACTTATTCATCTTAACACCTGTCATGATTTAGGCTTGGACCCACATGCAGTGAAACGAAACAGAGAGACGTGGATTAAAAGTTTGACTCGTTTTATTGAAGATGTTAAGCTCGGTGCAAAGTTTCCCTGAACTCTGCTCAGCCGGAACTGGAAGGTGAGGGGAAGACAGGCTGTTAGTTCAGGCTCAGTGGGAAATTTGATTCGTTGATCTTTAGGGAGAGGATCTGATTGTTGACTGACGTTTCCAGAGAAGTGAAGGATCCTTGACTCCAATCTGTGTGTGTTGGTTTTCCAGAGTTTGTCTGATTCGGCTGGGCGGAACAGGGTTTACCCAGAACTTGGACGGTGTAGGTGAACGGAGACGCTGATTGTAACTCAGATTTCCTGCTGTACTTGAACGGGTCATGGTGAAGATGATTCTCTTGCTCAGAGAGTAATTTCAACATCCTCAAAAAAAGGAGACTGGATCCAAACCTCCTGTTTGCATCCGTGGCTCAGTTTAAGACTCATTTGATCCCTCCTGGGAGAGGAGATCCGAAAAGGTCCAGTTTGCAGGATGACTTCCTGCAGAGAGGCAATGACAAAAACAAAGTTAAAACTCAGGGAGACAAGAACTCAGTCTTACTCAGAGAGACCAAAAACTGGCAAACACTCTGGCGTCGAGATAGTGGCAGTCAGCAGCTTAAGAACACTCCGTTAATGAGGAAACCATCAGCAGGTGTGTGAGGAGGTGAACCGGAACCAGGCGCCTCCTGTTGGTGGAAGGGAGACAAACACAAAAACAAACACACATACAGGAGCCCTGACACCATTCCACCATAGGGGGCCGATGTA